GGCTGCGCGCACGCACGCGGGGCGTCTCTCAGCTGCCTCTACCAGGCTCGAGGCTCCCTGACTTGGTGCATGCTTCACAAGTGAGCACTGGCCTGGGCTCAGAGTTGCTCTCCCTCCGCTGCTGCTGTTTCCGTCCAGTCTCCTACCTTGACCCAGCGCTCCTCTCTGAAGGCACTTGGGAATCTGAGGAATTTATTAAGCGCCTGCTGTGTGCCTCGCACTAAGTGTCGCTCAGTATACAAGAAGTTGGTATGCCCGGCAAGACAGTACCAGCCAAGAAAACGCTTTTAGGCTTTACAGCCTGAGACCATCAGGAACAATCTTTCGACGAGGTGAGGTTTTTTGACTTTTTGCAACTACGGGCACTGGAGATGGGAAAGAGAAAATTACAGTATTTGGGGGAAGGGTGGGGTATAGGTGATATGAAAAATGAAAAGAAATGGGGGAACCATTTTAGATTTTAAAGTCAGAGAAAAGGTAGAGTTGGCATCTTCTCTTTTACCCTGTCTTGTGTTCTTGCCCCTTCCACCTGTTAATTCGGGCTTCCAAACTCTTCAGGTTTGGAGCTCTGCGAGAAAGGACAGGAGAGAGGGCAAGAAAGGCTCCTGTTTGATTGACACTGCTGTGAGCTGGATGTTGGTACTCTTTGGACTTAGTAAACCATTAAAGCTGACCTCCTTTCTCTTAGAGTTTTGTAAATTCTTCAAAGACTTTTCGTAACTGGGAATCTTTAATCTGTAGTTCTCTTGATCTGGGCTGGTGCAGCTCTATTCCAGCTGTTGCTCACTCCTTTCCCAGCTGTAAGGAATCTAGTTATAGTTTAAGAATCCTCTCTGCTAATGTTTGTTCATTCCTCCAAGGTGTTCCCTTGGACAAATCCAGGATAATCTACACTGGTTCATTTCCCCCAGAGGCCTACACAGGTCAGTTTTCCTGGGAAGCAGACTCTGAGATGGAGATAACCATGCAAGATGTCTATTAGGGAGTACTTTTGGGGTCAACACCTATGGAAAAGATGGAAAGAAGCAAGATTGGGCAGAGGGAGAAGTTGAGCTCTGCTGCAGTCTTAATAGAGGCCTCAACCAATCTACAGGGAGTTCCGAAGCTGAGATGGCCCTGTAAAGTTGTCCTAAATTGGGGCAGGGAGCTGGGATTTTATACCCTTATACCAGCCAGTTATCAGTTCTCCTTAGCCCAAACAATCCCTGTAGGGGCAGTTGAGGGCTGTCTGCTGGCATCATTTCCAGTGGCTGGAAGAACAAGTCTTTCAAGTCATCATGACATATACCACAATAGGAAACACAATCTTTGCCCCAAAGAACTCTGGGGATGCAGGCCAATTCTAAGTCCCTCCATCAAAATAGCTAGTCGTCCTTTCTCTTACCTTTTAGGTTTTCTTCAGGAGAGAATCAGACATCAGGCTTTTGTGTTCTTTAAACTCCAGGAGATGCATATTAAGCTCTTCAGATAGTTTCCTGGGATAAAGGAAACACTCCCACCATCACTTTATCTCAAGAATTCTTTCCCTTTTAAAGTCCTTTCTGATCTGCAACTTCTAATTCTTGTATCTTCAATGTAGATCTGTGGTTTAAGGATCATTCCACTAGGTTTCTGACCATGTCCTTTGAAAAATTCTACATCTTAGTCTTGCACCTCCTTTGGAATGTGCCTCAGCTGAAGACTTACAATATCATGCTTGCATAATGAAATAAAAATCCATCGCCCGTTCTCTCCAAACCAATTACAAACTACAGTAACTTCCCACAACTTGTGGAGTAAATTCAGATTCTGCAGCCTGAGACAGAGTGCCCCAAAGCAATGAATCTCCTCTTTTCCCACCTCTCCTCCATCCAGAAACACCCTTTGACGTACCTTCACCCTAGTCAGGCTGATTTTCCTCTCCTCAAATGTGGTTTCTATTTCCTTTCACTACTTTTTGCCAACCCTCACTTCTTTCAAAGTCTAGCATCTTTCTCTAAGAAACTGTCTCTGGATAATTACACCTTTCAAGAGTTTATCACATCAATAGTTTCAGCAATCCTCACCTACTATGTGCAAAGCATTGTACTCAACTATTTTCCTGACCTTGGTCTTTGTTATATTTACGTTCTATAATCTTGGTTTTTTTTTTTTTTTGGTAGTTGTTATTGTTATTGTTGTTATACTATTTGTTCTTTAGATTCACCACCAACAACTCTTATTGAGTTCTTGCTGAAAACATAATGTAATACAAATGACTGATGACTCAAAGAAATGTCAAATGTGGCTCTAGCTCTCAAAAAGCATATGAATTGTCACTGCCTTCTTTAATACCCTTTAAGTAGTTTTCAGATGTTCCCAAACACAAATTCAGATTTCCTGACATCATGGAGACTTCCCCCTATATAGAAGTTACTGGCTATCTTTCTCATCAAGGCCAATATGTATAAATTCAGCAAGCATACTGACCTTGAATAACCCTTGATTAATGCCTAAGTGACCTGAGTGACTCCAGAGGTGATTAAATACAAAATGCTAGCAGCTACTCAGAATAGTAGTATGTTTGGTTTTTAGCATATTTCTTAATCCTAAAACATCACAGAATTTTATAATTTGCAGCTTCATAATTTGTTTCCCTTTATGTTGAATTTAACTCACATGCTTCAGTTTGTATTTTGAAAGGCTAACTTTGAATACAGATATATAGTGAGGAATAAAGCCTTTGGCAGGCAGCTGTGGTTGGTTAAAGATGCCTACAATTTTTTTAACACTCCTCCCATTGAAAGGTAAAATTTATGATGAAGACAGGCTACATAATTTGTGAGACTTAGTGCATAATGAAAATGTAGTGCCCTTTGTTCAAAAATTATAAAGAATTTCAAGATGGCAACAGTAGAGCATTAAATCAAGCATGGGGCCCTTTTGAGTTCAGGGACCTATGCAGCTGCACTTGAAGTTCTTCAAGGGGTAGCATACCCATAACTGTAGCCTGTTTGTGACTCCTCCCTTTGAATTTGTTTGGGCTCTATGACTGCTTTGACCAATAAACTATGGCAGAAATGACACTGCCAGTTTGAACACAGACCTTGAGAGAATGGCAACTTCTATTTCCTGTGTCTTGGAACACTCTCTCTGGGAGGCTTGAGCCACCATGCAAGGAGACTTACCACACCAGCTGATACTGCCAGACTGGAGTGGTTAAGTGTAGGCATTCTGTGCAGCAGCCCCAGTTGAGTCCAGCCTTCTGGCCAAGGCACATGAAGCGAAGCCGTCTTGGACTCTTCACACCAGCCCATTTGTCAGCCTTTTACAACTCCCAAGGCACATGAAGCGAAGCCGTCTTGGACTCTTCCAAGACTCACCAGCCCATTTGTCAGCCTTTTACAACTAAGTGACTTGAGTTGATGCCACAGGGAGAGCAGATGAATCATCCAGCCAATCTCTGCCCAATTACTGACTCACAAAATCATGAGATATAATAAAATTGTTGTTGGCTTAAGTCACTGAATTTGGGGATAATTTCTTTGTACAGCTGGAACAAGAGAAAAATTTCCACACAATTGGTCAAGGTAGCTTGTAACATTAATAAATAATGCTGCCATCTTTTTTAAAAATGTGATTTGTAAAATAAATATCATTTCTGTAGGTTAGTGTGTGTTTGGTTCCCAGACTATGAATCTCTATCACTTGGAACAGTTGTTAAAAACAGATCCATTGAATTTTAATTTCTGAGACTGGAGCTTGCAAATTTGCATGTTTAGTTAACTTCCAGGTGCTACTTAGGTAATTTAAGATCTCAGAACCACTGAGACTGCATAAAAACTGTGGCTAGGGATGATGTAATTCCTTGCCACTCAAAGTCTGATCCATAGATAGCAGCATCAGCATCACTTTGAAGCTTGTTAGGAATCAGATTCTCAGGCGCTATCACAAACCTACTGAATCACAACACGCAGATTAAAAAGATCCCCGGGTAATTTTAATATACCTTAAAATTTGAGAAACATTGCTGTAGAACGATGATTCTTAACTTTGCTTGTATAACACAATTACATGGAGAACTTAAAATACTGCTGCCTCAGAGCAATTAGATCCGAGTCTCCAGGGGTGGAGGTCTGGCCATTGTTTTTTAATAGCTCCTCAGATGATTTTAATCAGTAGTCAAGGGAGTAAACCAATAGTTTCATCCTGTGCCATTTCATTATTGTCAAAATGTGTGCAATCCCCCTTGGTAACCATCTTAGCATATGTTTGCATGCATCTAGTTTCCTATATAAACTTTTTTCATCACAGTTTATCACAGCGAGTACACATATGATTCTGACCATTTTGATAGCATGTGCTTCAATTATAGAGATGGATATGGCATCACAAGTGGCCAAAATATCCCTGAGAAAATTTATCACCTTGAGATAAAAGACCTATCTAATTGGAAATGCTACACGGAATAATACATAGTCTTCGAAGAGTAAGGAATTTTACAGAAGGAAGGGTTTCTACTTCTCATTAAAATTGTCAGCCTTAAGCCAGACTGGTCCTACTCTTTTCTACTAAGTGTAGTCTAATTCCTAAGGTCTTTTGCCACAAAGTCTATAAGTATGACTCTGATTTCAGTAATTATGTAATTAGTAATGCTTAATCTGATTAAGCATCTGTGATTTAACTTTTTTACCAGTAGGGGGCAGTATAACTCAGGAAAAATTAATTCGGCTGATAATTTGTATATATAAAAGAATCATCTTTCTCATGATACTGACAACTTTAAATTTTTCAGTTCAAGTGCAGTTATTTTCAGCAGTGATAATCTACAATGCCTTACTTAGTTCCCATCACAAGTAATAACATGACTCTGGAAATTAGTCATGAAACAGACACGAGCAGGAGTCTGCAAACTTATTCTATAGAGGACCAGATAGTAAATATTTTACCCTTTATGGGCCATATGGTCTCTGTCTCAATTACTGAACTCTGCCATTATAGCACGAAAACAGCCACATACAATACATAAGTGAGTGGTCATGTCTGCATTCTAGTTGACCTTTATTTACAAAAAACAGGTAGTGGGGCAGATTTGGCTTGAGGGCTATAGTTTGCTGACCCCTCAAGTAGAGGGGTAGTTTTCGAACATGGATAGTTTTCAGAAGTACCTAGGGAGCTTGTTAAATATTTAGAGTCCTGGACCTCACATCAAATCTACTGAATCAAAATATCTGTGGATGGGGCCCAGGCATTTGAAATTTTTAAAGTCCCTACATGATTCTGAAGGAAATACTAATTTAGTAACCACTAGGCCAAAATAAATTAACTGCTCCTTTTAAAGAACTACACGGTCCTCCTTGGCCTATTAGAATATTTTCAGTATTTGAATAACTATCCACAGTATATAGGAGCTAAATGTAAAGCTTCGACTCAGATTGTCTCTGTACAATCTGTAAAACACTTGTAAAACACTTCACAAGTAATATATGGATGAAAATGGTAGATTTTAACTTTCAGAGTTTAAAACATGGAACAGTTTTTCTTTTAGATAAGATTTATTCAAGGTTATAAAATTTTTACTAATTTTGTCATAACAATGATAGGAATTTTTATGTATGAGTTTTAGCCTCAGTCTATAGAGTACCTCTGTAGGTACTCTACAAGCACATCAATGATCTCAGTCTTATATAAATGTTTGTATGAAGCCACTAGTTTGGGAATTGTTTTGTACCATAGCACATCATAGCCTGTTCTGACAAAGGGACATAGAATTATTTTGAACAGAAAAGGAGAGGAGATTGAAGAAAATGGTAAAAAGAGAAGAGTGGAGAGAGATGATGGAATGGCGTGCAGTATCTCCCTACAATATCCCAAATCTTCAATACATTTACAACTTCAAAATACTTGCTGTGATTGGATTTTTTATTTTCTCTCTCTCTCTCTTTTTTTTTTTTTTTGCAGAAACCAGTGGAAGGGAAGAGTTTAATACCAAGGTGAGTACTAGGGTGAAACAAATGCAACACACAGATATAGTGGGGAAGAAACTTGGGTAAGAATATTTTACATACGGAGTATTCATTCCTCATGAAATGTGTCTCTAAAGATAGGGATGCGCTGGGCTGTTTCACCTTGGACTAAGCAAATGTATGGATATATAGATAGAAACCATGCTTTAAAAGAGCTGCTATGGGTTTTGTTAAGAATGCGATAGCATATACTTTTACTTGTGGTCCTAAAGCATACTGCATATTTCAGACATTTGTTTAACAAATAAAGCAGTTTTAGTTTTCTGGAGCAGAAGCTGCCTCTGGGATGCAAGAAGCCATTTATTTCTTGCTTGCTGAGGAATGTCCTTTTGTTTCTCAAGTTCAGAGCTATTCTCTCCCCTCCTTCCACTCCCACTCATGTTCATTTGTGAAGTTGAATATAACCTTAATTTTTTCTATGGGACCACCCAGTCCAAGTCTGGTAGCCAGTGTCCACTTCAGGCTGTGATTAGTGACTATTACTTCTTACCCATGCTCATGATCCACATGGCAGGAAGAAGGCAAGGAGCCTTTAATCACCTCCCACAGAGGACGAATGAAGTCTTCTTCACTGCTGTATCAATGTGAGAAAGGATATGCCTTTTCCAACTTAAGTCAGACACTGAGGAGAAAGTTAGCTGAGATCTGTAGCTGAGAGAGAAAAACACTTCACAAGTAATATATGGATGAAAATGGTAGATTTTAACTTTCAGAGTTTAAAACATGGAACAGTTTTTCTTTTAGATAAGATTTATTCAAGGTTATAAAATTTTTACTAATTTTGTCATAACAATGATAGGAATTTTTATGTATGAGTTTTAGCCTCAGTCTATAAATGAGTTGTGTCGGAATAACTAATTTAATAATCTGGTATTTAGTATTTGAAGCATATTTTCTCAAGAAACAATGTTAGACAAAGTGGTTATTGTTTCAGCTTAGCATATAGAATACCATTTATGCTAAGTGCAGAATAAAAACAATTCAAATGCCGTTGTAATATGTATTCTATGAAACCATGATTTTAGCATATTTACTCAGATTATTTAGGAACACATCTATCTTTGAGTAGATGTCACCCTTGCTCATGTTTGTGGCCTGCTAGACACCATGAAGAGGATACCTACAGAAAGAAAAAGAGTGGAGAAGAAATAAATGAAATAGCATAGGGAAACAATAGAAAAATCAACAAAACTAAGGTGTTTTTTATTTTTTTGAAAAGATAAACAGAATTGACAAACCTTTAACCAGACTAAGAAAAAATAAGACAATGATTGCAAAAACTCCTTGACGTTGATCTTAACAGTGATTTTTTTGGATATGACAGCAAAAGCACAAAGAACAAAAATAATAATAAAAAAAAGTGGGATTACATCAAATTAAAAAACTTCTGTATAGCAAAAAATCCAACTAATCAACCAACCAACAACCAAACAAAAAATCAACAAAATGAAAAGGCAACCTATGGAAAATATTTGCAAACCATATATCTAACAAGAGGTTAATATCCAAAATATATAAGACATTTGTACAACTCAATAGCAAAAAGACAAAAAATAATTCAATTAAAAATGGGCAAAGGACAAGAGTAAACATTTTTCCAAAGAAGACATAAAAATGGCCAACAGGTATATTAAATAGTGTTCAACATCACTAATTATCAGGGAAATACAAATTAATACCACAATGAGATTTTATCTCATACCTGGTAGAATGGCTCTTATCAAAAAGACAAGAGATGACAGATGTTGGCAAAGGTATAAAGAACCCTTTTGCCCTACTGTTGAAATGTAAACTGGTACAGCTATTATGGAAAATAGTATGGAGATGCCTCAAAAATTTAAAAATAGAACTACTATATGATCTGGCAATCTCACTTCTAAGTATATATTTGAAGGAAATGAAATCACTATCTTGAAGAGATATCTTTACCCTATGTTTACTGCAGCATTTTTCACAATAGCCAAGACATGGAAACAACCTAAATATCAGTTGACAGATGAATAAAGCAACTGTGGTATACACACAATGAGATATTATTTAGCTTTAAAAAAGAACGAAATCCTGCCATTTGTGACAACACGGATGGACTAAGCATTATGCTAAGTGAAATATGCCAGACAAGGACAAATACTGCATGATCTCACCTATATGTGGATCCTGAAAAAGTCAAATTTATAGAAGCAAAGAGTAGAACAATAGTTATCAGAAATAGGGGGAGTTGGGGAGATGTTGGCCAAAGTGTACAAATTTTCAGTTATATGATGAATAAATTCTGAGGATCTAATGTATAGTATGGTGACAAGTTAAAATATTGTATACTTGAAATTTGCTAAGAGAGTAGATCTTTCTTCTCACAACACACCCCAAAATGATACCTATACAAGATGATAGATCTGTCAATTAACCATACTGTGGTAGTCATTTCACAATATATATGTATGTTGAATCATTTTGTACTAAATTTACACAATGTTATTTTTCAATTATATCTTAATAAACCTGGAAAAATGTGATCCCACAACATACTCATCCAAACAACCAAAATAAAATGAAAAACAGAATTCCAAGTGTCATAAGGACAAGGATTTGGAGCAACTAGAACTTTTCTACACTGAGAGAGTATAAATTGACACAAGCACTTTGGAAAGTTGTTGGATAATATCTCTTAAAGTTACATATCCCAGCTATTTTAGTCTTAGGCATAATCCTTACAGAAATGCATACATACATTTACCATAATCCTTACAGAAATACATACATACATTTACCAAAAATTGCATACATACATTTACCAAAAAAAAAATAGTTATTTACAACATTCAAGTTCCCATCAACAGTAAAATGGACAAATATATGGTGGTGTAGTCACAATGAAATACTACACAATTATGAAAATGAATAAATTACTTCAGTAAGCAACAACATAATTATATTTCACCAATGTGGAGCTAAAGAAGCAGACCCAAATTTTTGAGTTTATGTTTCTGATGTCATTTATAGTATATTCCAAAGCAGGCAAAAGTAATTTATGATGTTAAAGGTCAGTAGTTTCCTTTAGCAAGAAAGAGACTGAGAGCTTGTAGGGTGCTGGTAGTGTTCTATTCTTTGATATGTACTTTTTCATCTGGAAGGTAGTAACATGACTTATTCACTTTATAAAAATTAACTGATTAATCATTTCACAATATTTATAAATTAAACCATCATACTGTATACCTAAAACTTATACAGTAATGTATATCAAGTATTTCTTAATAAAACTGGAAAAAGTAACTGCTTTACACTTAAGATTTGTACACTTTTCTCTGTCTACTTATTTTAATAAAGAAAATTTACTTTAAAAAAAGAAAAGAAAAAAGAGGACATCTATAGCCACAGGTCAAAGTGGGCACATTCTGTTGGTTTGAATCTGATGCTCTAGCAGAGAGGGGACCTGGAGGAAGGGACAAGGACCAAGTTGTTATATGACTTCTATTGCTTGGATCCTAGCAAGATTTTGTGTTAGTTATTTGACTTCCTGCACTTAAGTTTCATTTGAAAATGGAGATAGTTCACTTCATAGCAGTTGTAGAAAGCCAAACGAGTAAACTAAAAGTGTTATAATTCATTATGTTTTGTTCCTCAGGGATCCAGAAAACACACTACTTAATTTAGCTAAATTCTCTTTTCTAAGTAACTCAGTAGGGTGACCCTAAAGAAAATTTGACAAACCTGACAGATACATGTATTTAAGTCTTTGAAGCCTATTTTGATTGACAGTCCAAGACTCAGGCTCTCCGTGACAGAAAAAAATACTGGCATATCTATATCCTTAAGCACACATCACCACAGTCCTAAAAATTGGTGTCTCTTGACTTCTTTTGTGACTTTTCCATTTTGAACCAATCAAACCTTTCCACAAAGATGGTCTGTTAGATTCTGACATCAAAAGGCAGAAAATTCCAGACGCCTTAGCAACATCTGAGTTGTTTTCAATAATCAGTTTTTCAGATGACAGCAGACTCATAAATCAAATTGAACCAAACCAGAACAAAACAATATCCACAAAAATGCTACCCTGAAAATGGAGGAAAGTTATTTATCATCATGCAAAAAACCTAACTAGAATAGAATACGATTTTAGTCTTGACAAAGCATTAGTTGGTAGCACAGAATTACAGGGTGTAGCAATTAGGGAGTAGTTTGCTTAATCACTTTTTATTACCTATAATTAACTTTTCTCCACTTCTGTTGGACTCAAGGAGTCTCCCCGAAACTGTGTCTTTGGCTTTTCTTTCAGTGTGCTTGGGTTTTGAGTGGCCCCATCTTTATCCATGAGGTCATCTGCATACAAGTGACATTTAAATCCACCCTCCTTCCCTTGAACTTCTCCTCTGTGTTCATTTTCACATTACCTTTAGTCAATTGTACTTCATTTGTAATTTAAATTGTACCTGGTGAAAGTCCATCTTCTAATCATTCCCATTGAAGGTAGCCACAGTCCCTTTTCTTTCTCACACCATTTAGTCTTCAAGTCTGGCAATTATTATTGTGTCTCACTACTTTTTCACAAGGCCAGTTTATGTAAATTTACACAATTCCCAATCATTACGAAGTTTCCAGAGATTCGAGTCCACCACTCTTGCCTCGCCTTCTGCCTTCTACAGGTTAATTTTGATCCTTGGTGTTTACCCATAATTTCCCTTGGGAGTAGTTTAAAAATATCACCTAAAAAGAAACTTCAGCTCCATTTAAAAACTATTCTTTCTCTTTCTCCTCTATGTACTGTTTATTATTTAGAATTGTTCACTTTTTCTTTAAAGGATTTTATTTTTATATTTTTACTTTTTTTCATTTAAAAAATTTTTATATTTTTTAATTACAGTTGACATTCAGGATTATTTTATATTAGTTTCAAGTGTACAGCGTAGTGGTTAGACAGTTACATACTTTATGAAGTGATCTCCCCAATTAGTCTAGTACCCATCTAACAGCATACAGTTATTGAAATATTATTGACTGTATTCCCTATGCTGTACTTTTCATCTCCTCGACTATTTCATAACTACCAAAATGTACTTTTTAATTCCTTCACCTTTTTCACCCAGCCTTCCTACCCCTCTCCCATTCGGCAACCATCAGTTTGTTTTCTGGACCTATGAGTCTGTTTGTTTGTTTGTTTGTTCTGTTCTGTAGATTCCAAATGTAAGTGAGATCATGTTTTTCTTTATTTGACTTGTTTCACTTAGCATAATACCTTCCAGGTCCATCCATCTTGTAACAAATGGTAAGATTTTATTCTTTTTTATGGCCAAGTAATATTCCAGGATTTTAGATTTTCATGACATCTTTTTCATCTCTGTGCAGTTTTAGAGTCACAACAATATCGCCCAGAATGTTGGAGCTACATTATCACCATATTCCATTCTCTATCACCGATCCTTTCCAGTTAATTTCTGAGACTTTCCAAAGCTTTGGATTAGCGGAAAGGAAAAAAGGAGGCAGTGAGACATATCAGAGTTCAAATACCAGCTCTGTCAGCAGCGTGACTTTTGGCAAGTTACTTTACCTCTCTGAACCTGCTTTTTTTCTGTTAGGCCTTTTTTCCCCTTAATAGTAAAATGGAGTTGGTAATATGTGCATTATAGACGGGCCATAAGAATGATATTTGGTGTCACCGTAGTTGCTAGCTTTGTCTGGCATGATCCCTTGCTAAGTCAATGGTAGCTCTTTCCTCCCTCACCTCCACTACCATCCCAACCCCTTGCATCCGGGGACTAAATAGAACCAATTTCATGAAAGTTTTACAGGGTTGATTCACACTGAAGTAGGTTCTGACATTATATGTATTGTTAATAAAAATCAAATATGTAGCTACTACTTCCATGTAGTTCGCTTACAGGAAAACCTCGACTATGTGAAATACCAAGTAGGAACAATAAACACAAGATATAAAGGTTAAAAGTCATGAGGATAATATGTATCGAAAGAGAGCATAATTGACCTGCATTTATGACATAAAAATGGTTATAAAATTTAAATGCTGAACAGAACTTTAGTGAAAATATCAGCTAACTTCACCATAGTGCCTAGTGTTTTGCACCGGATGTATAGTGGTATCTCATTGGCATTTTAACTGATATTTCCCTAATGATTAATAATGTGGAACACATTTATTATGTGCTTATTGGCCATTTGTATATTTCATTTTTTGACCTGCTCAGAGATACTGTATATTCATGAATAGATCCCATGCTTATCCTCTGCCTGTTTCCTCATGTATAAAATACAGATAATAATAAAATGCTATACATCTATGGATAAAAATTTATGTGACTCCTGGATGATAGTATAGGATAGTTAATTGCAAAATATTGTAGCCTATAAGATATCTTAGTTCATATGTTACACGCCGGGACAGACCTGTTTTCTTTTCACATATTCATAGAAGATAAAAATGTAATAAAAATGCATGCATCATTTCACTTTAATGATAAAAGTAAATTCATTATATTTAAGATAAACAGTTTCTTGAAAGAAAAGATAGATCATTGGAAGCAGATTCAATTGCCATTGTGTGTAATACCTTAGGAAATTGAAGAAGAAAGAAAAGCCTTAATGAAGAGGATACATTCTCAAGACACCTTTTGCTATCAGACACAGCTGTGCTTTCTGAAACATAACCATGGGCAGTTACTCTCCTTGGTAGGTAATACCAGAATTTACTACTTTTCCTTATGGATTCACACCATCTTGCTTATATCAAATTGCCTCCTTTAGATTATGGAATCATAGACTCATAGAGTTGTAGACATGGAAGATTGTAAGGTTATCTTGTCTAGTTTTATTGTTGTGAGAACTGAGGCTCAAAGAGTTTCAGTGTTTTCTCAAAAACTGGTATTTCCTAAATATCAGTGCTAGCTCCTAGACCAGACCTGAAGTGTCTTGTTTTCTACTCTGCAGTTTTATATAGCTCTACATTGAGTAAAAGAAGTTAGTTAATAAGTAAATTTTAAAAAACAGAGCTACCTTTAAATGAAAAACAGGACACTTCAGAATTTGTATTTTTTACCATAAAATGCATTAGTCCAAGAACCAACACGCTTTCTCGTTCAAAAGCAATGATTTTATTGTGTTTCCAGTATAACAGGAAAGAAGCTACCAAACTCTAGAATGTGGAAAATTGTGTCTTTAAAAGAGGTGCAAATTATGACGCTCACAGTTTGTCATTTGCTTATAGAGTAGATCCTGCTTTACAAGGCTTTCTACCAGATGTCGGAAGGCAAAACTTTTGGAGGTATTTTCCATTTGATACTTAAGAGAAAATGTATACATCTGAAAACCTCTTTTAAATTTACTTCAAAGGAAAAAATATCTGCTGTAACGACTCTTCAGCTTATTTGTGAAAAATGAATTGTCATTTCATTTTAGAACAAGGTAAACAAAGCCATAAAAAGCACAGCTCAGAACTGTCAGAGATACATACGGCTTTTAAATCAGAAAGGAAGCTCACTGCTGCATTTTAAGCCAGTGCTTTGTTATAGCAAACTAAGTAAGTTGTTGAAATGATGAATTTTTTAAAAAACCATTCTAGTGTTATGGTGATAAACATGCTGTCTACACTCTTGTTAACTACTGCAGAGCATGACAAATGAGACCAATCCACTGAACTTTGTGGAATAAATTCCTTTCTATAGGCTGTGTGGAAAGCTTGTTATTATCTAGATTTATTTTAAGTTATATGGACTGTTGTTTGGACAAAATATAGTTCTAATAATTGCCAATGAAAAGGACCCAACTAAATGCTATGACTTGAGTTACTTCCCCTGAAAATGTGTTTCATCCACACTTAAGCGTCCAGATAGACATATTGGAAGATAAGATAATCTGAAGCTTTTTGTGACTCTTTCCGAAAATTAATTGGGAAGATATTGAATACAGGATTTTAAAAGTTCAGTCAATATATTTGACTCAGTGAGCCTAGCTTAGCTAAATTACCCATTTATTTCTCATCACATTTTCCTACAGAACATTAAAGTATTCTAATTAGATTCTCACAGAATAAATTACAGTGCTATACTGGCAGTTACTGTTTACATTTTATTGACTTAAGTGTCTATTTTTGTTTTTTGAAAACTTGGACCAATGACTATTTGTGCAGCTGATATAAATGAGTTGGTGTAGGCTTTTGACTGTGAGCCCATTTCAAAAGTGAATAGTTTTGGCTGTGGTTAGAGGGTATCTATAAGTTCTTTTGCAGGTTGAAAGAGTGAATTGCAGAGGGCTGGACATTTACACTTCAATTTCTGGTACCTGGTTCATAGATCCCTCTAAGACCTAATGCTAAGAATGAGTTCCATCTGTAGAAGCACTAAGCAAAGGTAAAACTTGGTATTTTCTTTTTTTGTCACATTTTTCTTAATAGAAATGGAAATAGAGATGTTAAAAAACTGAATTTACCAAATAGTTCTTTTTTGGGAGTTAAGTCAGCAG